AGGCATGAGAAACTGTTTTGCGTTGATCACGAGAGTTTCATATTATTTAAATAATAAATCATTCTCTGTGTCTTTATATGGCATCCAAAACTATTTAAAATTATTTTAATCTTAGACGTATGTTTGATTTATGTAAAATATGCCTAAAAATATAATTACGTAATTTCTTTTCCTATCGAAGAATGTTTCGTCCCATTATTTTTTTCTTTCCTTCCGCCGTAGAAGGCTGCATGGATTCTTTACACAAAAGATCTTATACAAATTTTTCCCGATAATAATCTATCGTAAAGTCCGCCCCTGCGCAGAGCTCGTCGGACGACACGACGGGCGTTCGCCGGGAGGCACGACAACGGATACTTTGTACTAGTTTTTCCAAGCCGATCCTCTGGCATTATTATGTTTTCTCAGTACGGGTAATTAGGGTGGACATCGAGAGAGCGCATACCGAGTGATCGCGGCACGAGGAAATTGCCCGAGTTTACGGCGAACGTACATCGGGATCGACGATGTTGATGCCAATGACGCGAGACTTTTGTGGCGAACGCGCGTATAGAAGGCATATCGAGAAAAATGTACACACCGTGGCCCCCAACGCGCATCAATCTTTCATGACAGATTCTTCGACGATATCGGAGTTGATTTTCTCGTAACGAAAATACTGCGGCATCAATCATTTTCGAGTTATTAGCATGGGAACGTGAATGGGAGGTCTTTACGAATTAAGCTTCTTTCTCGAGTACTTAAATATCAAATATTTATTATTCGAAATTAAAATCTCTTGCGGTCATACGCTTTTAGCGTATTACGTCATATAAAGTAATCTCGCAATTATCAATAAAAATTTTCATTCTTCCAACTTTCTCTTTTTGGATAAAATAATATTATATAAAATATATATTTATATTCATAGTTGGAAATATTTTAAGATATTTTTGTGGAGAGCAAAAAGAGAGAGGGAATAAAAGGGAAGAGAGAGTACTATCGTATCGCGATGTATTAACAAACACTGGCGATGTATACTTCGAGAAGATAATAAACAGAAAGCAGGATAATTGAATCACTGTTATTTTACTGAAACTCCGGATTCAATCGCGATCGCGACCATTGCCACAAGTAATTTATCACGCAATCACATTGCATGTCGCCGCCGTGGGATCGAAACGTTATTTATCTTAATGTTTTTCGTTATTTATGCATCCACGGTTCGCGCGGCATCGCATCGGTAGCGTATAATTACTGTTGCGCTGGATTAAATACGAGGGAAATTGTGATGACCCTTTTGATACTGCCCCGGTATTATTTCCCAGCGTGTCGATATACTTTGCACACGGTGTGCAACTGCACTCCCGCGGCGAGATCGGATGCCTTAAGGCGAATAGAATTATTTGCGACTTGTCTCTTTCATCTCTCGATAGGCGTTGAATAAGTTTCTTTCGCAATAATTATATTTTAAGACAAAAGAGCCCTCGTACAATAAGACTGGAATGTTCTTTTATCGCGCGAATATAAAGAATTATTGTTTCACGGAAATCATTACGAGAGCGCTACATTGGATAAATATTATCAGTATCAACAAAAAAATATTTTTCCGGAGAAGAAAATTAATTTTCTCGAGCCACGCGTGTAAGCGCAATCTCGACTTCTTTCAAAGATGGCCAACGCGATAACTGATGACGTGAATCTATCCGTTCACACGGCCAGTAACTTCATCGAACGCGACAGCAACGTATCCACTTTGGCATGAGATGAGAGAAAGAGAGAAAGAGAGAGAAAGAACGAGATATTAGAGTAGCTGCTTGGTCGCATATGCGACATCCAATAAACCAGGACAGTTCTCATATCGAAGTGCGGCACGACGCGACGTAGCCAGGAGTTACACGAAACGCCAGCGGGATGTAATTTAGCAATGACAACGACAAAACTGCAGCATCGTCTTTATCGTTTTCCGAGGGGACGGGGGAGGTGGAAAAACTGAGAGACGCCACTGCCATCGATTGGAGTTATCTTTCCAATCGACACGTGACAAATGATTTTGTATTGTGTTACAACACATTACAATCGGCAATCGGTTACAGGCTCGCGTGCGTCGCCGCGAGTGCCGGATCGAATTTGTCGATTACACTCGTTCGCGATAATCCTTCGTTGATGTCTCAACAGATTTATCGTTCTCTAACAGACGATCGCGAAATGTGACGTTCGATAGCTCGCATAGTTTCTCCCGAATGACGGATCGGCGTTCTAAGATTGTGGCTTTCGCTATTGCTACCTCACTGATATTCACTGATCTTATTCACTCTTACGATGCTGTCACATTTCTCTTGTTAAACAATGATGATTCCTTGTATCTATCTATCGAGTCGCTTGTCTCAGATTATTCGCTACTCTCTCATATCGTAAAGATTTTCGATTATGTTATTATTACATTAATTTCTTATTAATATACACGTGGTGTAATATTATATTAAGATGTTTATGTCGAAAATATCGAGTAATGTATTTTTCATGTTCTTTCGCTTTAGTTGCATATCACATAGCAATTAATATCATTATAATTTGATTATAATTGTAATATATTCTGGAAATCTGTTTTTTAAATAATAAGAATAAAAAATGACGTACGGATGAAAAAAATACCGAAATACATATGAAAAATATTAAATGCGGTATACTTGCAAAGAAATCTTTACCATCTCTCCTCATCAAGTTTTAATAAACGACACAGTGGCACTATACAATTCACAGAATTATTTCTTGTATACCTAAATAATTTAATTCAAAAATTGTAAGATCTGTCAGCGTGATAATAAATGCATAGAGAAAGGCTAATGCACGGAGTTTGCATCCTACAATGTGCAATCTAACGAACAATGTTCATCGGGATGGCAGGCGCTCGCAACTAAAGATCGTTTAAAGATTCTCCTCCGTCATGGCGCAAGATGAGCCAAACATTTTGGCACACCTTAGTAATGGCATTGTATCAATACTATTTCGTCTTGCCAAGAAACTCCTTGCGCGAGATATCAAGGATCTGGCACGAGGTCACGTCTTTGCATCCTACAATGTGCAATCTAACGAACAATGTTCATCGGGATAAAATTTCGGAATAAAATGTTCTTCGGGGCGAAGGGCGTGGAATTTTCTAAGAGGGATGATATATAGAGCCAGTCTCTCAAGCCTGGGTATCCATATAAGATCCATTCGGCACAAAGTAAGTGGAAAAGAGAATCACTTAAATGATCTGACGTGAGAATGAGAAAGAGAAAGAGAAGGTAAGAGAGGTCCGAGCGATTGAATAGGAAAAACAAACGAAAATTGGGAGAAATTTCAAGTAATCGTATTTTATCAATAGAAATAATTAAAAATTGGCTATTTCATCTATAGTTGTGATCTATAATATATATTACCATATAATATATATATAATTTCCTATATCACATGTTACAAAATTGTTAAAAAGATTTTATAAAAAATCCGACATTTTAAATTAAACAAACTATATATCAAACTATATATATAATTTTTAGGATTTATAGGATCTAATTAATTTTTTCTAAAGGATTACAAAATTTAAAAAAAAAATTCCTTTATATATCCAAATATTTCAATATTTATGTATGTGTATTTATATACACACATAAATTGAGAGAAAACTTACAAATTATAACAGGAAAACACTTTTATTACTTTACCTAATATAATTGCATATTTTTTATGATAAACAGAAAAGTGTCTCTTTCTTGACAGTAATTAAGCAAGAGACATAATGTTACTACAGAGAAGGTTATTGGTTTCCTTTTTTCTTACAGTGGAAGGTCGGCTTAAAGAGAAAGGGAACGAGTTCCGAGACCACTAAAGTGACGCGAGATAATAGATGTAAGGCAGGAAAAAGCCGAACAAGGATGGAAATCCGGCCGGGCGGCCGCGACCGAATGAGAATCCACAGGAAAATCCGTCCACTCACTCTGGCGATACGATTAATCAAAGCCACGCGACGAAAATGAAGGCCACGCAATTTAGAATGTTCTTACTTTAAAGGTAAGTGAAGGATGTAATTAAATCGAACGAAAGGTTTCTTAAATACTTGAGTGGTAAATGCACATTTTAATACGATAATGGAAATGTTGAGTTGAACATTTTTATGAGAATAATGATAGCTAGTTGAATAAATATATCTTTCTCTCTTTCTCTCAGCTTTTATGAAATTAACAGACAATCAAAAATAGATTATATGAATTATTGTCATTATAGTATATGTGAGTGTATATGTAGCATAAATTTTATTAATATTAGTATTAATAAAATTGATGATATATATATAAATAATTTTTTTAAGCAGAATAAAAAAATAATATTCATGATTAATTGTACTTTGATAGAAACTACCGTTCATCGTATATTAACTCTGGTCCTATAATTACGTAAGAGATGATCCATAGATCTCTCGATCGAAAACAATGGTCGTTAAGATAGATGCTCTCACGACACATGGGAAAAAGTATCGCTTGAGACTGAAGTCTTTAAAATTATAATGATACCTATACATGAGGGGAGCATTATAAAATTATAGACATGCAATAACGATAGCATCCAACGCGATGATAGAAAGCGCAACGTAAATTTTGTTATATCAAATATATGTCATTTAAAATAAATATTTCAAATTGCCACTATAAATATTTTTCGTTATTCTCAAAAATATTTCAAGACTATATTTATGTGATCAATATATTTCTTTATAATTTATTCGATAATCATCGATAATTTAACATGTTTGTTTCCACAGTATTATTATATAATAATATTATTCTCAATTGTCGCATAATCAAAAGTGAACCTAGTTCGTGAAAGCTTCGTTTTAGATATTCATATTTAAATTGATAGACGAAAACAAATCTGATTCAATTTCTCAAAAGAGAAGCAGGAAAAATAATGGCGACTGGAGTCGCTAATGGGGTCTCTAATGAAATAAAAGCATGCACACCCATCACCGCACCGCTCACCTGGCTTGATCTCGCGGGGATAAGCCTGCGCCCGCGATTCATCCGCGACGAGCAGCAGCAACGACGGCAACACGAGGACCACCGAGATCCTAACGACGCGCGCCAAGGTCATCTTCTTGGTCCCGGCGCCGATCGAGCTCTGTGTTCTCCGGTACTGTGAAGGATCCGGGCACGCACTGATCATCGCCGAGGCGAGGCCCTACGGCGCTCGTAGGGGGATTGGGACAATCGACAAATCAGAACCCGATACCGTGCCGTGAGAGACGCGAGTGATGACCCTCCCAGATCTCCGCACAGAGGTCACGCGTTGGTTGCACCGCGCGCTGCCTGCGACCTCGAGACCTCTAAAGTCGTCGGCGGCGGCGGCGGCGGCGACGGCGAGATTTGATGGTGTTTATACCGGTTGTACTCTCGGTACAACGCGAGTGTCTGCGGCAACCGGACCGGACGAATGAGTGAAGATCGAGTGAGTGAGGATGGACTGACAGACATGCGGGCGTACGCACGAATCAATGAAGTGAGTGGTACTTATCCGTATAGGAGCCCTCACCTTACCCAACTCGGACCACTTCACCTCTCCTCATCCCGCTTCACTTCTCTCGCACGCACGCCTCTCTTTCGCTTCTTGTGTACCTGGCTCTCTTCTCCATCGTCTCTCTTCCTACTCGTCTTCTTTTTACCGTCTTATTCTTCCTCATCCTTCTCCTACTACCGCTCGTCTCCTCCTTCTCCTCCTCCTCCTCCTCCACCTCCTTGTCCTTCTCCTTCTTCTCTTCCATCGTCTTTTCCTCCGCCACCCGCGTCTCTTATTCCTCACCTCCTTCGCTTTCCTCTCCCTTTCTTGCCTTACATTCGATTTACCGTTAATTGGCGAACGTTCTTACGAAAAATTTAATTTCTAATGACATAATATAATCCGTTTGATCGGACAATTCACAATGTCTTAAATATAATTTTATTTTTCGAAATAACATAATTCAATATTCATTTCTAATTGGAAAAATAAATTGACGTTTGAAGAATCTTAGAAATTATATTTGTTATAAATTCGTGCACACAAGATTATTTTCTTTTCTAATATTTTGTATCAATTTAATATCAAACTGTATATCGTAATTGTGCATTGAATCGTTAGCCTCTTTCTCTTATTTCCCCATAGTCTTCTTATTTCGTTTAAGTTACATAGATTGCACGACTATTAGCGCGAAGTTTTCGTAAAAGCGCAACACAAAGAGTTCCAATCTCGACAGCTTCTGCACAGTGTCGCCTTGACACCCACTTTTATCACGAGTCAAGAATCTTAGGAGTAATTAGCAAACTTCTTGGACGACAAAGAGTGCAACATTATACAATATTAATCCTGCATTGCACAATTCGATTATTATCTTTTAAATAGCATTTATATTTATACATATAAAAATTATGTATGATATTAAACAATGAAAAATAATTTTATTTTGGTTGATATCATATGTAGAATATTATGCATGTTAACGAATGTAATGTTATATTCTTTTGTCATAAATAATTCCTGACATAAATAGAAGAATATTAATATATGAATAATAAAGAAACATATATATCATTAATTAAAATAAAATTAATTAAAAAGATAAACTGCGTATTACGTACATATGTTATTCCAAAAGAAATTTCTTAAAGATATATTTAAGCTTACAAACTAACTTGCTACTTTTTTAATTACTTCCGCACATCTTAAATATTTACATACATTCAATTTTATTCATATTTACATGACATGCATATACATTCAAAGAACATTCATATTTTTACGAAAATGATAAAAATATAATGCAAAATATTCGTAATATAAAAAAGAAAGAATATACAAATATATATATA